TAATTTATATAGTAAGTCTGCATTTTTTTTTACAGAAAACAAGATGGCATGATCTAAAAACTGTCAACATCAAATGTCCAATCCAGTGATTCATATGCTCGTTGTACAACTGATTTCAAGACTTCAACCCATTCTTCATTTAACAAACATCTCTTAAGCACTTACTATTACTACTTATTAATACACTGAAAATATTATACTGCACTTCTAAAATAAGGGGAGATATTCAGTAACTCCTTAATCAAATGTGGTTAAAATTCATATTGAGGGGCCAGCGCTGTGGCGCAGCAGGTTAACGCTCTGGCCTGAGGTGCCAGCATCCTGTATGGGCACCGGTTTAAGACCCGGCTGCTCCACTTCTGATCCAGCTCTCTGCTATGGCTTGGGAAAGCAGTACAAGACGGCCCAAGTCGTTGGGCCCCTTGCACCTGTGTGGGAGACCCTGAGGAAGCTCCCGGCTCCTGGCTTTGGACCGGTGCAGCTCCAGCCATTGAGGCCAGTTTGGGAGCAAACCAGCGGATGGAAGGCCTCTCTCTCTCTCTCTCTCTTTCTCTGCTGCTCCTCTCTGTGTAACTCTGACTTTCAAATAATTAAATTAATCAAATAAATAAATTAATCTTTTAAAAAAACAAAATTCATATTGAGTGATTTAACAAGGAGATAAAATCAATGAAAGAAGAGTTCCTATTCTCTAAGAATTCATGTGAATGATGAAATATGCAGGGACATACCTGGTGTCTGAATACAGATCTGGGAGCTCAGAGTAGGAAACAATCAACATTGAGCAGATTAAGGATGGCTTCATGGTGGAACTGACATGTGAGGGTTGATAAAATGAATGGAAAAGGATAAAAGATAACTCCAGGTACAGGAACCCACAGATATAAGGCACAGAGACATGACAGTTCAGGGCCAACTACAGGAAGAGAAGGGTGTCCTGTGCAGCTGGGGGGTAGTAGAAGAGGATGATGTGAGTGATGGTGTGGTGAGAAGTGGCAGCTTGGAAGTTGCCTGAGAACCTCCCAGGGTCTGTGTACAGGTATCTTGGGGTCACATCTTTTAGAAAGATAATTCTGAAAGCAATGAGGAAGATGGCTGGGAACGTTAAGCAAAGAGAAAGTGTGTGTGTGTGTGTGTGTGTGTGTGTGTATGTAGGGTATTATACTTCCTTCAGTGAAATGCTGTTGGAGCAACTTCCTTAACTGAAATTGGGTAATTAAAGTTTTTGCCAAGAATTAACATTTCATCTTGCTTAAATGGAATTATATCTGAAGTATCTTTATATGATCCTTTAAAAACAAAGCAAATAACTTATTTTCTTATTAACATAGCATGCTAATTTCAAAGTAATTTCAAAGATGCAAATTGAATTTTACAAGATGGTAAAAATATATCACATGGAATACTGTGATTTTTTTTAATGACAGCCATAATACAGAAGGAAATCCTACCACGCACAACAAGGATGAACTGGGAGGATATTACGTTAAATGCAGTAGACCAGGCACAGAAACTCAAACATTGCATGATCTCATTCACATATGAAATCTAAAAATTTGAGCTCATGGAAATAGAAAATAAAATGGTGGTTGACAGAGGCTGGGGCAGGGTGGGGGGTAGTTAGGATAACAAAGTAGGTAGGCTAATGTTTGCCACAGGCTACAAAATTTTAGGTAGAAGGGATAAGTTTCAGAGAGCTACTTTACAGTCTGACTATGGTTAATGACAGCATATTGTATTTTTGCAAAATACTAGTAGTGTGAAAGTTAAGTGTTTTCACTACAAAGTGACAACTATGTGAGGTAACATATATTAATTAGGTAGACTTAACTAGTCTACAATGTACATATTTTAGAAATTATCTTGTTATACACCATAAATACACATAATTTTATCTGTTAATTTAAAAAATGAGTCATAATCACATCACTGGAGAGAAATATTGCTTGTAGACAATTCTTTAAATTTACTTCAATTCAATTACTTTGGACTATACATTGAATAAGATTGATGATGAATAGAATAATTCTGATAACTGGGACCAAACTCATTTTAAGCAGAAGTGGGCTTAGTAACTTTGGTTTTGCTTTGGGGAGTGAAATTTGCCAGACATTTACTCTGCATTATGATAATTATAAGTTATAAATTATTTATTTCAAAAAATGTGCTAAGCAGTCTGAAAAACATAGTTGGAAATGCTTTTATATTTTGCAACACACATTTCTTTGGCAATTGTTTTCTGTCTTTGAAACAAAAATGAAAAGTCCCAAGTAAGTACAAATGAAGAATCCTTTCAATTTTCAAGTGGAAACTCAAATACTGAGGAATGGCGAGCTTTCACCCATTACCTCCACAATTCTTTAAGAAATACCAATTAACATATGATAGATAGATCAATGAACAAAATATAGGTATGGTGTCTGTGTTCATGCAGCTCACAGATTTGTAGGCTAGCAAAATTGTCTTTCTCCTTCTTCCCCAGTGTAGAAATAGAGTCCATTTTAAAAGGACTAACTCTGTTCTCACATTTCTATTAAGTATTTTTTGTACTGTTTGGGTCCCTATAGGTTATCCTATCTCTCATATTCCATAATTCTTAGAGACAGTGCCATTATCATACAATTTGATCATATGCCATCAGGAACTGATCTCTGTTAAATAAAGATCCTTCCTCCTCAGTAAGATAAAAACATCCTTGAAGACAAAGACTATGCTATAATACTTGGGATAGATGGCAGATTTTTCTGAATATCTAGTAATAATGACAGGATATTTAGAATACACCTGATAAAGAATTTGAATGTGATTAAAAAACACGTCAAAATCATCTTCTAGTGTTGTCAAAAGGGCTGGACATCTCACAATACCCATGCAAATGAAGGTTATGTGGTGAGAATTTCCTCACAGAATTTCATGGAACATTCCTCATTTCAATTGTTATTTTAAAGGTAAATTGCTCATTATTTCTTAAATGCCCCTAAATGTACAAAATAATAAGCCAGTCAATCTCCATTCTGAACAATAGTTAAAGTCTGCTTATATGTAAAGTATGGAAGACCAGAATAAAATTGCTTGCTTTATGTTGCCGCTATATTTCCAACTGATTGAAAGCTGAGATAAATTAGATATAGTTAGAATATTAAAATGGGGAAGTCATTCTGTGTATCCAATATGTACTTTGGCATTTTGAAAAAAGCTTGTTATTTGTAGATTTCCTTAGAAGTACTTCAAAAGTCAATGTAAAAAATCAATTTATTTAATTTATAAAACAGACTTTGAACATTCATCTTCAAAAAGTACAGTATATTACCAAATTAAGTATTTTGTTTAAAGGAAAACACACTGTAAAGAAGCTCTAGGGAAAGAGGAAAATTTATACTGATAGAACTGGGACATGCTTGTTCTTTACTGTAATCCTTAAAGATTGAAATCATTCTATTTGAGATTATCTGAACATTTTACCACCATCAAGAGTTTCTAATTGGTATAACTATGGCTCCAACCATCTTGTCAGTCAGCACAATTATTTGAGATGAAATTTCCATTAATAAGAAAATAACCAGGGACATCTATGTCATGTGTCAGGAGGTTCAGATTTTGAGTTTGAAAGAAAACAGCCATCAAGAAAATGGAAGATTGCTATAAAAAAGAAATGCTTATATGAAGGAGAATTTGTTAATCAAATTGTGCTCAGATCTTTTTATTTTCTTTTTTTATAATAGGTACTTTTGGAGCCACTTATTCCTGTTGGAAGACAAGTCTGCCTATATTTAAGACGTAGAAAGGCTTTCCAAAACCATCTGGGAAGATTATGTTCCTTGGGTGCTGTAGTAATCTCTTAGCTCAATAGGAGACAGGATTTATAAACAAATTTGAATAACTTAATTTCAAATTCTAATTCTTAAGCCAGACATAAGTGAAGGTAAAATACTAAAACACACATGGAAAAAGTGTTTTCTTCATTCTTTTACAGAATATGTGACTGTCCACCATTAATGGTAAAACCTAAGCTGTCCCAGGCAAGACACAAACCTCAGTCTCCCAAACAAAAGACCAATCGATGTTAACAATCACTGGAAAAAGCCAAAGGAGCTCTTCTTCTTACCCATAGGCACAGATGCTTTTCCTTTATTATGCAATTAATTACCTTTCTTGACCAAAACCAATCAACTGCCTTTCTTGAAGACAAATATCATCTTCCTCTTTAAAAAAAATATATTTTTTTGTCCAAGATCTAGCCCACAGTAGTGTGTTTAATTATGTTTTATTAGGAATAATCTATATATGAATTTGCTAAGAAATCAAACATATACTAGGTAACATCCCAGTTGTCTCATTGAGTTTCATTCTTAAATAAACCAAAGAGCAGGGAACAGCAAATTCAATTTAAGATACTTTGTGAAGTTTCAGTTGGCTAATCTAATTTATAATATCATACCAAGTCTCAGGGTTTACAGTGATTCATTACAAACAAGAAATAGTATAGGAGAAATGGAAAAATAAAATCACCCTCAAGGACATGCAAAAGTGATGTTAGTGTTAATGAGAATTAAGTTAATGCTGCAAGGAGAGACTATGGTCTACTGATCACGGTCTATTTCTGTAGGTGAAGTCTCTCCCCCTTGCTTTCTAGGTCTTAACTATTTTTACAGTATCCATTGGAGACTAAAAATATATACCAGATAAGAATATAAATGAAATAAAGCTAATGATGGCTGATGTTTATGATGTTTACTTAAATTTACATTTTTCTTTTTTTAATTTGAAGTATCTAATGATTCATATTTTTCATATAGACCTTTCTAAATGCCTAATATTTCCCTAGAAAATTAGAAGTAACAAAATCTCATGCTCTTTGTACATGAACCATTAATTTTTCACCATATGGGTCATTTTAAAAAAATTATTGATGATGACTCTGGTTATCACAGGTGGTCAGTAGTGTGGGCCTACATTCACAGAGACACATCAGAACATTAAAAGTTTGGGTTATGACTAACCTTCAGGTTGATATTGTGCTATAATTGTCACCGTCTGCCCAGCTCCCTTTAGTGCAGCAGCTGCCTGTTCATGGGATGCTCCACGAAGGTCAATGCCATTCACCTGAAAGAAAGCATGTCACAAACTTTTGTTATTTCATAAAGCATAATAGCTGCATTATTTTATTACAGTGATGTTTTTATACATTGTGATAAATAGACATTTACTGCAGGTAAAGAGGAAAGAGAGAAAGTGAGGGAGGATGGTGGAGTGTCAGTCAATCCACTGGTTCACTCTCCAAATGCCTGAAAAGTCCTGTGGCTAACGCTGGGAGCTAGGAACTCAGCCCAGGTCTCCCATGTGAGTAGCAGAAGTCAGTGACTTGAACCATCACTGATGCATCAGCAGGAAGTGGGAGTCAGGATCCAGCATTCCCATATAGGAGCATCTTAACCTCAGCATCTTAATCTCTAGGCCAATGCCCACATCTCATTACTTGTATTCGGATAAAGAAAAAGGTTTCCCAAAACTGAGAGGCTACCTATGATTATGCCACATCCTTCAAAACCCTTCATATTCTACTCGGATATTTGTTAACTTAACAAGCTCTATGTTCTTGTTAACTCAGTTGGCAGAGATGTGGAATTTCATCTTGCGGTGTGTGTGCCATGGTCTGACTGGGTTGGAAACATTTTTGTCTCCCCTGCATCCACTAGGATTTTAGTATGTGCATTTAATATGCCCCTGTGAATTTCCTAGATTTCTGGGGTAGACAGGAGCCTTCAAAATTAGAGGTAAAACAGGATAATGAAGAGAGACACATGTAAATGTACATAGACAAGTATGTGTTGACAGATTAATATATTCAGATGAGGTTCTGGGGAGACGGTATGAAATGGGGCTGGATGGCTGCCAAATCCCCCTTTTTGGTCCATTGCTTAGTCTTGTCATACTGAGCATGGTTAGACAGCCCTGAGCCTTGTTCCAAAATAAACTTGAGTGCCCCATTTTTCATGCAGAGTTCCAGAATGAATTCTGACAAAATGAAATAAAGAGTGTCTGGAGTTTATTTTGCCGTTGCTAACTCCCATTTTGGAGCCCATATTGGAAGAAAACCAGAGCATCTAAATAACAAGCCCAAAACTCTGCTAGGGTAAAAAATCACTCTTAAGTCACATTTAATGAGAAGCTAAAGATAAAATCTTTCTTGAATCAATTCAGGCTAAGTCAACACGATATAATTACTAAGTGCTCTCCAATGACAGGGCTTTGTGTCTATCTCAGAAGCAGAACAGTGGGTGGAAAATAAAAGTGAACAAGACAAGTCTCTTAGAAATATTTTTAGTTGAAGCGAGTGCACAATAATTCTGCTACCTTTTATTTACAAGGAAGGCTAGTATGGCCCATTAAAGAAGAATAAAGGAGCTGATCAGCTTTCTATATGTAAAATGTATAACCTTAACAGTCCTCTTTGGTAATGATACTCCAGGGATAGACTGAGGAGGGGTTATTACCTTACTTGTTTTCCTGTTGGGCTTGGAGCATCTGTAATTTTCAACTGTGTACCTTGTCCTCTCACAATACCTTGTCCCAGTCTCCTTACTCATTGTCTAATTTTCCTTGCCTCTTCCCTCCCTGGCTTTCTGTTCTTGTGAACCCCTTACTGAAAGTTTTGGATTGCACAGTATCACTAGAAAGTCTGTTGAGCTAGGCTTGACCTGGCTGTGCCACTCACTAGCTGACTATCAGACATTTTTATCTGAGATTCAATTTTCTTCTACCTCAGAGGGAGGGGACTATTAGATTATTTGAGTCTATAACCCCATTAAGCTGTAAACTTCTAGTTCTATTCGTCTACTCCTTGGTAGGTGAGAATCTTCTCAGACTATCTAGGGTATTGGTGAGACTAAAGTGTGATTTTCAATAGTCAGAAGAGACAGGAAAGATAATTTCACCCAGGTCCCTGCCCACAGAAAAGAGAAGCACATAAACTTTATATGCCAAATAATACCTTCTCTTATCAATTATTTAGACCTAATTTTTATTGAAAAACCATGATCATGGTAATTAAATTCTGTTTTAGAAAGCTATCAAAGGAAGAGGTAAAAGTCCCAATCACTACCTCCATTTCCTCAGAGGAATCACTTTTATGTATCCTTTAAGAAAATTCACTATATGTACATGCAAATATGACTATTTCTATTGCTCTTTGTGCATATACACATTAATATACTACTACCTTTTAGTTTAAAGATCACATCATACATACAATCCTACAATTTGCTTTTACTTTTATTTCAACAGCGTATCTTGGACATCTTTCGAATTCATCATATTATTTTACTTTTTTATGAAAGCCTAGTATTCCTTAGTATGATTGTGCCAGCATTTTTCATGAGATCCCTATTGACATGGTTAAAGGTTGTTTCTGGTTTCTTCCTAGTAAAACACTCATGTAAATGTTTCTGATGAATAAATTCCCTGGAAATAGACTTCCTATTTCAAAGGGTATATGTGTATTGTTTCTTTTAATTTGCTATTATACATTGTAAAAATGACATTTATTTATTAAATAATCAGAAACAAAGAAAAAAAATGTAAACAGGCCATTTTCCAGATTTGATATAAAATAGAAGTAATTTATATAGTTAATGCACATATATGAAAAATAAAGAGGTATTAAAAAGCAAAAAAATAAAAAATTTTGGGGCTGGCACTGTGGCGCAGCGGGCTAGTGCCCTGGTCTGAAGCACCGGCATCCCATATGGGCGCCAGTTCTAGTCCCAGCTGCTCCTCTTCTGATCCAACTATCTGCTATGGCCTGGGAAAGCAGTAGAAGATGGCCCAAGTCGTTGGGCCCCTGTACCCACATGGGAGACCAGGAAGAAGCTCCTGGCTCCTGGCTTCAGATTGGTACAGCTCTGGCCATTGCGGCCATCTGGGTAGTGAACCAGCGGATGGAAGACCTCTCTCTCTGTCACTACCTCTCTCCGTAACTTTCTTTCAAATAAATAAAATAAAATCTTTAAAAATAATTTTTCAGGGCTGGCACTGTGGCACAGTGGGTTAATCTACTGCCTGCAACACCAGTATCCCATATCAGAGTGCTGCATCAAGTCCCGGGTACTCCCCTTCCCATCCAGCTCTCAGCTAAGGCACCTGGGAAGGCAGCAGAAGATGGGTCCTATTGTGTGTGTGGGAGACCTGGATGAGGTTCTTGACTCCTGACTTCAACCTGGACCAGCCCCAGCTATTGCAGCCATTTGGAAAAGGAACCAGCAGATGGAAGATATTTCTCTCTCTGTCTCTCACTTTCTCTGTCACTCTGCCTTTCAAATAATAACATAAATTACTTTAAAAATAAAAAAATTCTCCAGGCCAGTGCTGTGGTGTAGCGGGTTAACACACTGGCCTGAAGCGCTGGCATCCCATATGGAAACCACTTTGAAACCTGGCTGCTCCACTTCCCATCCAGCTCTCTGCTATAGCCTGGGAAAGCAGCAGAAGATGGAACAATCCTTGGCCCCTGCACCCATGTGGGAGACCCGGAAGAAGCTCTTGGCTGCTGGCTTTGGATCGGCTCAGCTCCAGCCATTGCAGCCAACTGGGGACTGGACCATTGGATGGAAGACCTCTCTCTTTCTCTCCGCTTCTCCTCTCTCTGTGTAACTCTGACTTTCCAATATATAAATAAATCTTCAAAAAAAATTCTCCCTACCTCTTATTATTCTCTCCAGAAATAGTAATATTGATTACTTCTTTTATATACTACTAATTATTTTTGTTATGAATACCAGCTAGTTTACAAAACATATGAATAATAAAATTCTGCACAAATAAGGTCATATTCAATAATTGGATATTTTTATACTTCTTAATATATCAAACTGTGTTTTCTTAGTTCACATGTATTTACATATTTCTCTGACTCTTTAAAATTATGAAATTTTCTATTATTTAATGTTAATAAATAATATTAATTATTAGTTATTATGTGCAGTTAAGGCACTATTAGGTTGCTTCAGTATTTACTATTATAAACAATGCTTTAATAAATATCAATTAACAAGTTGTTTAATATGAGTGGTGAATTTTGATAGCCTTTGCCAAAGGCCTTAAAAATGTGGCACTAATTTGTACTGCTATGAATAATATATGATTTTCTATCCTTTTACACTTTTATAATAGTTGTACATACTTTAACACTGGACTATTTCTATGCGAAAAAACTGACCTTGCTTATTTGTGGGTTCCTTAAAAGTAGGAGCTTGTCCTTTTGGGACTTGTGATCCTCACATAGTGCCTGGCAAATGGTAGATGTATAATAACTGAAGAAGTGAGTGAATATGCAAGTGAATGAATGAAAAATATACCCTCACTACATTATCTCAGGCACTTCATCATTTAACCTTTATGTGACACTGGCTTCATAAAGAACTTATCTCTAGGAAATCCACAACTGGGCTCAGCTCCAGTGCTTAAAAATAGGTTTTTATGTTGAATCTTTCTGGTACTTTCTACCTCGTAGTTCAGTCTGCTCTGTGATGGTTCACAGGACAACATTGTTTCTTCTTTATATGATCCTCCTTCTAATATTTGAAAACAATTTCATGTTTCTCAGGCTAAGGGATTCAGCTCTTTTCCCCGTTCTTCCTTCCTCCAGATCATTTTTGGCAAAGGACCATTTGGTCTTGCTTGCATATTTCCAATGACAGGGAACTTCAACCTTCCCTAGGGTGTCCATTTCATTTTTTAGATGTCTCTTATGAGTGTTATTTCTAGCATCAAGATATCATTTATTACTTCATTGAAAACTCCATGCATGTGAGGTTAAGTATGGTACCTAGACACTTGCTATATTACCATTATCTTTTTTTTTAACTTTTATTTAATAAATATAAATTTCCAAAGTGCAACATTTGGATTATAGCAGCTTTTTCCCCCGTAACCTCCCTCCCTTCAACCCACAACCATCCTATCTCCCACTCCCTCTCTCATCCCATTCTTCATCAAGAAGAATTTCATTTTCAATTATCTTTAGATACAGAAGGTCAATTTAGTATATACTAAGTAAAGATTTCAACAGACTGCACCCACACAGACACACAAAGTATAAAGTACTG